GGGCGGACCCTGGCAGAGCGGAGTTGTTACACTCAGCTCTCTGTTCTCTGGGAGCAGAGCTGAACCGTAGCAACTTCACCCTGGAAACCTCCTGCTGGAGCAAAACTACTACACTGGGCAAACATCCCCTGCTGGAAGACCCTCTCTTTCTGGAGAAGAGCCGATACACTGGGGAAGCCTTTACCTGAGGCTGGGCTGTAAGCTGCTGAGCTTACTGCAACCTGTGGTAGTCCTTGGCTCCCGAGCTCCAGGATACCTTTCTACCTGAGCTGTGTAACACTCAGTATTCTGTGGCTCCCGAGTGCCAGAATACCTATCCCATCCCCATCAGACCGAAATGCCTACAGCTATGCCAGGCTCTAGTCACACGATCAACACTCAGAGCCAGAGAGATGGTTAGACGCTAAAATGTACAACAGTGCAATCCTAATGACCTCACGGGCCAATCCCTGGGACCCACTGAGAGCCGAGCACAGCAGTGAGCACCAGGACATGAGATGCGGAAAAGGAAGACTTCCAGAGAGAAGCAAGAAATACCCCTGCCCCAGAAAAACCTCTCTGGTGGCTTCCACACGTATGCGTGGTGGCAGAGGCTTGTGAGTAAATGCACAGAAAGAGATAAATTTAAAAAATAAAGTCATGTCAAGTTCCCATCCTCTTCAACCAACACCGCGGGCGTTAAGCAATAAATAGTGGACCCGGGCAACAGCCTGTGAAAGATAGGGTAAACAGTTCATTGGTGACTCAGGGCAATTGTGTAAAGGGGGGTAAACGATTCCTGGAGACACTTTAAATTCTTTTCTGTGTGTCTGATTTTAAGCATGGATATTAGCAGTGCTGCTTGAAATGTGGGTAAGGCGGCAGGAAGAACCTCATTTCTGAACAATGAACTAAACAAACATCTTAGGGGTTTGATTCACAAACGCTCCAGAAACACAAACAACCTGCTATTCATTATACTGCCACTAGATGGAGATCTTGAGTCAATCATGACTGACCAGCCCCACTCCCTGTCTCCTTTTCTCAGAATTTTTTTTGTTAATTTTATTTTTATTATTATTATTTTTGATTTTTGAGTGTTTTTTTTTACTAGGGTCTGACTACATATGATGCGAGCTTACGATTTTGGCATTTGGTGTTGCTGCTGAACCTTTTTCTGGGAGGGGGGGCGACAGTAATTTGGAGTGAAGTGCATTTAGTTTTAAATGTATGAGCTTAATTAATTTTTCATCTGGGGTCTCAGGAGGGTGGAAGGGCCCCCGTGTGCGGTGGCATGCTATTAATCCTGTGCTAAGTTGTGGCAGAAGTTACTAGTGCTTATTCCCACTTCCCCCACAGGGTGTGGCTAGTTGCAGTGACTGTCACTGTACCTTATAACTGATTAAAAGCGGAAATCCACGCTAGACCTTGCTGGGCAGCGGGCAGCCTCTGTGCCGGGCGCTCTTGTCTCTATAGGATAAGCCGGCTCCAGGTCTTCACTTAGGAAACACGGGCCTGCGCCTTCCGTTTTCCTTATTCCTCATTTGGAACGAAATTCCAAAGTGACTTTTAGATTCCGCCACCCACGGTGGGGGCCTCATAGAGAGCTCTCGAAAAAGGAAAAAAAAATCCGAGGCAAAGGCCTTTTCTGTTGGTGAAGGCGGCCATGCCATGGAGGAATAAAATTCCGCTGTGCTGACAGCAAGCAACCCAAGCGTCTTGCTCGCCTAGACGTTTCTAGCAAACTCAGGAGTTGGACCGCCTCGTCTGTAACGCGCTGACCGGCTACCTAGGGACAATGTGGCCATTTGGTTTTTGGCTGCTGCCTGAAATGAGTTTGAGTGTCTCGGCTCATTTTATGTGAAACACAAATAAAAGCGCACATAATAAAACATGCCATCTGGGATCAGTGCCAGCCTCCGTTCAGAGGCGGCCCAGACCTCCCTTTCTGAAAACCAAATTCCTGTTGCACACAGATAGAGGCTCCCGGACTTCCAGACCGGCTCCGACGGAGTCACGGGAAGGAAGAAAAGGAAATTGTAAACCACCAGGCACCGTGCCAGAGGAAATGCCTCTGGTGACCCAGACTGAGTGTCCTGTGGTCCCTAAGACCCCACTTCCAAGCTGCAGAGCTATCTGGGAGCGCATAACTTGAAAGCTCTGTCCCCCGCTTTCCTGTACCTTGGACGGCCTTGCAGCTTCTAGAAGCTCCGGTAATGAAGAATGCTCAGGACTTCACTTCCTTCTGCCTTCACCTGGCCTAGCCACAGTTCCTAGGCGCAGGGTGACCCCGGGGGCTCTGCCACAGAGTGGCCCTGATGGCTCATGGAGGTCTTGTCCCCCACTCTAGTTAGAGATGCAGGTCCCAGGGGCCAGCCACAGCCAAGGCAAGAGAGAGGCGGCTCTGCATGGACCGCAGTGAAAAACCATTTTCCTAAGTACGGGACATCATCCAAGAGATGTCTCAGATTTCAGACTTTGATCCCTTTTCAGCGAGAAGATTATTTTTAGTTGTTTATTTATTTTTATGTTTGCATGTCTTTTTCCTTAAGCAACAGTAAACCATGTTCGTTAGATGGAGAAATTTTCGTAAACAGACATTTCCTGGGGTGGGGGAAGTAAGATACGGTTTGGAAGCCTATCACCTATATATAAACTCAACTAATGCCTCTCTCTATATACACTCTGTGGTCGGAGGTCCACGGGTGTGTAGGTATGTGCGTCAAGGGTTTCAAGGACAGCGCCCGTTTTTACAGGGTGGCTTTAAGGCTTTTGTAGCCGCGAGGGTGTCTTCTTGATCGCCATTTCTGTGGGCTTTTAAAAGTTACAGCATCTCGGTTGACGGCTGCCTTGTATTCCACTCCAGACAATCACTTGTTTTTTGTTTGTTTGTTTTTTTTTTAAGAGTGCCCTCAATGCCCCGGCTTCATTGATGACATAAACAACACTGACAACGACACTCAGAGATTCCTAGTCCATATGCCAATAAATCCAATTTTGACAGCGGGCCGTGTGGATATTCCTTCTGCTGAGAATCATGCGTGTTTCACAGTAGTGTGTGTGTGTGTGTGTGTGTGTGTGTGTGTGCTGCGTGCATGTGCGCATGCGAGGAGGGGCAGAAATAAGCATGTGGCGAGAAAAGAAGATGCCTCCCTCTCCTTCCATGAGAAGATGTCCTGCACACACACAAGCATAAACATCCCATGTAGTACATCATTCTAAAGTAATGGAAAGAAGTTACGTGAACCCTTAAGAGTTTGGAGTTTTAATGGAAAAAAAAATACCGGGATTAGAAGACGCATGAAAATGTTTTCAAGTCTTTGTTGGGCTTGAGATGATGAGCGTTTACATAATTAATCATGAGGGGATGATTTTAGTCACAGAAATGATCATTAGTACCGCACTCAAGTTAAGTAATCTTTATGGCAATATAAAAATGCCATTTTCCCCTTAGATCTTACCAAGATCCCGCCTCTTTTTTATGCTCTTTGGCATTGCAACACTCGGTAATTGAATGCTACTTAATGAGGAAAGAAACCATCTAAGCTAATGTGTCCATGGAAATTTTCTGAAGTGCAGGCCCCAAATATCACCACCATAAATTGTGTTCGCCCAAAGCTAGGAAAAAGGGAAATTAAGTTGTGATAATTGTCGTTTGCTTTAAAAAAAAATCGCCCCACTCTTTAAATTATTAGCCTTTGTTCTTTACTGTTTTTCTTTGTAAGCGACAAAGTCTCTCTAAATGTCCCCGCCTTGCATTTTTGTCAGTTGCTCTGGCTGGGGGCTTGTCATAATTTTAAACACTCTTTGCAAACCGTAAGAATGCGAGTGGTAAGCTTTCTGGTAAACAGATGGCTCATATTTGATATGTCTTGACAGTCATGATGATACTCAGACATCCCATTTATTCATACCACAGTGCAGGTCACCGGTTAGCAGAAGTCCTGGAAAGTGGAGGAAACTTTGGTTTGCATTGGGCAATTGTTATGTCCTCACCCTGTGATGGGGGAGAGGTTTGAGATCATGTGACCTGCACTGAGTGTTGGGGGGAGGGGTGTGAGACAGCCTGCAAACCGCCATTCTCCACAGGCTGCTTCTTCTAGAAACCGAGGATATAAATGTTAAAGAGTTTGGCCTGGGGAAACACAAAGTGGTCTGGCCATCAGCTAGTCACTCCCTTTTGGAGCTAACTGATTTCTTCCAGATTCGAAGACACCAGTGGACCCTGCTGCTGAAAGGGACAGCACCAGCTACCCTCACGTTTTTGTCTCCATGACAAAATGCTTCGGGGTGAGGACAGGCTTTATTTATCTATGTGCTTTCAGCTTATTTGCTCAAATTTAACCGTGTATTCATCTAACCAAACCCCCATCAAGAACTTAGTGTGGAGACATTTGTAGTCCTAGGACCAGGGGCTTGGGACGTGGGTCTAGCTGGAACTGTTCATGTTCAGCAGGGGACCTTTCTGTTGAGATGCACATTTGACACAGGTGTCCCCTCACTACCAGTATCAGCAACACATTGAAAACAGGCCATGCTGCCTAAGCGTCATTTAATGAGGCATCTTCGCATTAAAAAAAAGCAAGCGCTGGGCTGGAGAGACGGCTCACCCGTCAAAGGCTAGGCTCACGACCAAAAGTAAAAACAAAAATAAGAAAAAGCAAGGATGTCTCTTGTGCTTTAAAAATGTCATTAATTGGTTCCAAACATGGGAAGTTGGATTTTGATCTTGGTCTATAAAGAAGGTAAGCCTTGATTTTTGACTGTGAAGCCACACTTAAACTGTAATTGAAAAGGATTATTTGTAAAATTTCAAAAGCAACTTTCTGTTTTCTTTGTGGCAGGGTTTCTCTGTTTAGCTCTGGCAGTCCTGGAACTTGCTCTGTGGACCAGGCTGGCCTTGAACTCAGAGATCCACCTGCCTCTGCCTCCCGAGTGCTGGGATTAAATATGTGGGTCATCATGCCCAACTTCAAATGCCACTCTTTAATTTTTCACCAAACTATTAACAGATAACTATATTACATTGAATTTCTTCTTTTATTGTAGAAGCCCAGATAATTGAGACAGTCTTTGTATGTTTAAAAATATGTTCTTACTTTTTTGAAATGCCAGTTTTGCTGTATAGAATAGATGAAATTCTAGCATCTTCCCTCCAGTTTGAAGCTTCTCAGAGGGACATACCCTTAAAGTCAGTGTAGATGGAGGGGAACAGGAAAGAGGCTTCCTTAGGCATTTGAGCAACTTTGGGGAAGGAAGTAGACTTGAGTTTTCTTTACTCTTTCCTGAAAAAAATGATATAGTCACAGAGATCATCAGATTTATCTTTCTGTACACATTCTGAAAACTATTCTTTTATGATCATTGTCTAGAAAAGAACATAAATGGTGTTGTCCCTATAGTAAGTAGATTTTTGCCTTCAGGTTTTAATGAGGAACATTGGATATTTTGTGCTTATTGTTTACTTATGAAAACTTCTTCAACTTCCCTATATATTATATATTTTATATGACCTACACAATATACATTACTTATATAATAAATTATTCAATATAACACAGGATATATAAAATATGTATGACATATCATATGTTAATTATATGTTATTATAATGTATATTATACACACCACCTTTTTAAATCTTAGGATGGTTGTCTCTTGAAGTCTGGTCTGTGAGGTCTTCTACCTTCGCTGCTCAAGAGGTTGATGTAGCCATTGCTAGTTCAATGTCTGCCCTGCTCGAGTGAATTTCAAGGCCAGTTGAAATACATTAGTAGGACTCCATCTAAAAAACAAAACAAGAATCCAACAGCAAAGGTCAACAGCATTAAAAAAGTCAAAGAAGACAAAATCGTAAAGACAGGACTCTGCTAAATCTCAAGTGGTGTAGCACTCTCCAAGCACGTGCAACACTCTGGGCTCAGTGACTACTAATGCCAGGAGGCAATACAATGGTAAAGGCAAAGCAAAACAAAAATAATTTCCTGAAGTTATGTCTGCTTATTTCCCCATCATTAGGAACTGGTGTATTTAAGTACTTTAATGAAGACAAGCTCTGCAGCTCGCTTGTCTTTCATTAGAGAGACTGACATAAACACACAAAGTACAGATGAGGGGCTGGAGAGATGGCTCAGTGGTTAAGGGCACTGACTGCCATTCCAGAGGACCTCAGTTCGATTCCCAGCACCCACATGGCAGCTAACAATTGTCTGTAACTCCAAGATCTGACGTCCTCACACAGACATACATGCAGGCAAAATGCCAATGTCCATAAAATAAGAACAAATACATTATTTAAAAAAAAATACAGATGAGATCTTGCTGTGTTTGATCCTGTCAAAGCCAGTGGCTCTTGCAGGCTGTGTGAATGAATGAGAAATGGCTTCTCTTGGCAATTCACGAGAGCTAAATTGTCAGTTTTCCAAAGCAAACAAATGTGTGGGATGGACTTAAAGTGATCCTCACCCCACAGCTCTGTTATGGAGGTGGTCAGAGACTAATTTTCTAAACTGACTTTGGATTTCAAACCTTCTAAGAATCCATGACATTTTCAGAAGGAGACTTGTGAGTCCAGAAGGTAGGGGACTGATATGTACATATTTGTCTGACCTGTCTGACTCCACCAAAATGCAAGACAAATGGGCTTGTTCTTTTCAGTGTGATGTACTTAGCATCGGCCAGTGAGTTTGGTACATAGCGGGGGCTTCCTAGTCTTCCTGGAATGATGGCATTGACTGGGAAAAAAATGAATAAAATTAAGAATATATTCAGAAAGGAAGGGACATGGAAATGGAGAGATGAGCCATTTCGCCAGCCCACCAGGGAAGGATATATCATTTTTTCCAGTCATGAAAGCTCCAAGGTGGGTGGGAACAATTGTGCCAAGTAGGAGCCAGGCGGGAGTGTTGCTTAGCTGTCTGATCCCTCTTCAGAAATCCTGTGGCTGCTGCTTTTCTAGCTCCATTGCTTTTCAGTTCCTCGGGGGCCTCTTTCTTCTGGTTGCCCTCTGCCTGTGTCAACATGAAGCTTGGCTTTGTGGGGAATGAGCCTAGGAGTGAGTGGTTGAGTGTGGGCATCATACAGGTCTGGGCATCCGTCCAGGACAGCCACCTTGGTATATCTGATCCCACTTATCGTAACTCAGCCTCATTTTCCCCATTTGTATATTTGGACTGATAATAATTATTCCCATCTTGTCAGGCTGCTGAGGGATTAATGAGAAGATGTCTGATATGAGCCCTAAATGAGAAAGACACTGTAGGATGGCTCATTACCGGTAGAGGGAAGGTGCCCATTATGCACTTAGCTGAGGGCTGGTTCATAAGCAGCCCTTGGTGGTAAGTTACTTTGTATTTCTTTGTGTGCCTTTTCTTTGCTTCCATAATGTTGAGCAACTGTTGAGTTACATTGTATCTCTTTGTGTGTCTTTTCTTGAGTTGAGTTACATTGTATCTCTTTGTGTGTCTTTTCTTTGTTTCCCTAGCGTTGAACAACCCTTGAGTTACATTGTATTTCTTTCTGTGTCTTTTCTTTGCTCCCTAGTGTTGAGTAACAGAACAGGAGAAAGTAGCAAAGGAGAAGGAAGGGTGCTTACCTTCCAGAAGGATGTAGGCTAGTGAGTAGGAATGTTTTAGCGGCACTGGTAATCTGTGTCCCCAGGATCTCAGAGGTTGAGTGTGTGTCATCTTAACAATGAAGTGATTGACATACAATGAACCCTCTCTAAGGTGGGCATTAAAGTACTGGGCATGTTGGCATAGTCGATTTAGTCCTGATGCTGCAGAAGACCTTCCTTACCAAAATCTGTTTCTTCTTTTGAGTTGACTTTAAAGGGCTCACATGGCATCTGCCATCATGTAACAGGCTGAATTTTGAGGTCATTGTGTACTCAGCTGCATGCGTTGTTGTCCAACCTTTGTGAAGGAGACTGTGTGGTCTCATGGCTTAAGGGGCCTTTCCACTGTGGGGGTACAACCTCTAAGAGGAAGAGGGAGAAACGCTTGAGTAGACTTTCCCATCTTAACTATTAATAGTCTATTTGAAAAAGTATAACTGTAGTAAGATAACTAAGTACAAGCAGATATCAAGTCTGCAGGCCCCCCTATATAGACCATGTGATCAGAGCAAGATTTGGATGCCTTTATGGATTGCCCTCCATGATGGCAAACGGGGATTCATTTTCTTTCCTTGCTTACCTCTGCGACTTTAAACTGAGAAAATCTCTTGACAGTCTTCATTCCTCCCTCGGCTATCATTCCGAATCCTTTACACTTGGAGTTAAAAACATTAAGATCTGCTCAGTAGCCTAACATGATTCCTAGGTATTTTGTACACAGACCTTCCCAACCCAGCACGACGGAGATTTCCTCGGGGATTTGGCCTTAGGATCAGGTTTCCCGTGGTTACGGACAGTTCTATTAAGATGCCATTCCAGCCAGTTCACCCACGGAAAGGTAAACATCTCAGTGGTAGCGAGCATGGCGATTGAATTGGGAGAGCATCGCCTTATGTGAATTTAGAATGCTTCCAGTACCCTCAACGGAAATCCATTACCTGTCACTTTCTTCTATGCACCTTCGTCTCTGCCTTAACACCTGGCAATCACTCACCAGTCTGCTTCTTCTCTCTTGCCTATCCTTGGGCTGGAGGGAAGAAGGCTCAGTGGTTGAGAGTGTCTACTGCTCATTCGGAGGACCTCACTTCCGTTCCCAGCATGCCAATGGTGGCTCACAAACTGCCTGTAATTCCCAGTTCCGGGGTCTTTGACACCCTCCTCTGGCCTCTGTGGGCTCTTGCACACACACACACACACACACACACACACACACACACACGGTGTATGTAAATGCGCACTGGCACACGTATAAATGGAAAACATTTTTTAAATTTGCTTATGCTAGAAAATTTGCGCAAATGCTCTTTGCTGTTAAGCTATACCACACCCAACTGGGAACAGCAGCAGTTGCAGCGACAACTAAATGTTCATTAAACACCAGGCTCAAAAAGATGAGTTGCTAAAGAAGAAAAGCTATCTTGTTTTAGTTACCCATTTCCGTATGGTAAGGAGTTAAACTGCACACACTGGCCATCATGGATAGAGCTGGACAAACATGTTTTAGTGTCTATCAGCTGGCACATGCCAAGAGGCAAAGGAACCGTTTCCCTTATACATTTTAGGGCTGTATTCTGTTCAATTTGGAATGGCATTCTGGAAGGAAAGGGGGGCAACTCCCAGGATTATGTGCGAGCCACTTGCCTTCTCTTGTCAGAGCAGAATGCTAACATAATTCTTTCCTTTTAATAAAGTGAACTATTAAAATTATTTCTTTCCTGAATGATGGCTGAAACAGATGTATTTTAATCTACAGGGCATGGCAAATGAAATTTACATGTCACAGAGGTCTTTCTGGTTAATAAATGTTTTAAATAGAAAGTGCTAAGCTAAATAAATATGAAACTATGCTGCTTTGCATAGGATTAAAAAAGTGAAATTGGAGGTCTTTCTCTCTGCCAAAGAATTGATTAATAAGGTGAAGGGATTTTACACTATCAAGATCAGTCTTCTAGAATATCATGAAAATGCTGCCTTGCTGTATGTCTATAAAGCAAAACAAAACTGCAACATGTATTTCAGTACATCGACTGCATAGGTAACTAAGTTGCTTTCTGGTGCTCATATTCACCAATACTGTCATATTTCCTCCATTCCCTAAATAAATAAATAAAATCTATCTTCAAAGCTCACCTCCAAACATTCACAAAGTTTGCTTTAAATCACAAGAGATTATGTCAACCTAGATACTGTTTATGACTGTAAGCAAATCTGTAAGCAAATGTCTATAATTGAAAATTAAGAAATTATATATGTTTAGGAGATATTTTATTTATTTATCTTTTTTTGTAAAGAAAAAAAAAACAATAAAGAGGCTTCCTGGTGCCATGAGGCATTTTCAAACTAACTAAAGGTATAAGTGGCTGAGTTTTCCCTAATTGCTTGTGTGGGAACCCTTGAAATAACTTTCATGGGTAAGTAGTCTAAACATGCTTTGCCACGAATCTGTCCCCTGGGCCTGTTCTGCCTTCCACCTTAGATGAGATGAATCCCCAGCAGAAATGAACTCTGGGAAAATACAATGGGGGGTTAGATGGACTAAACTGTACCCTGCGCCTCACAATGCCTCGAAAGTTACCCTTTTCATTGTAGTCGATGGGCTGAAAACACAGGGATGCTATCCCAGATTAACTTCTCTACTGTTAAAAACTGTCAAAGCCACGTTTCAAAAAAAATCATTTATAGGGAGGGGTCAGGTGTTACTCTAGCCTGGTTAAAACTGGCTGTGAGTCTCCCTCCCTCTTTTAAATTACAACAAGACAGACTCCGATATGATGCACAGATTTTTTTTTTCGAACGCCAAACTGAGTTTTAGAATTATAATTTAGAGTGTATTGGATGTATCACCAAAAGACAGGGTGGTTCTGCAATTGTCAGGCGGTATTGTATTGTTGCTGGTCTGAGCAAATCTAAACCTTTTCAAGCTTTGGTTGAGTGGGCTAATTCCAGGACCTGAATTACAAGTGCAATTTGAATTACATTGCAAATGCTGAATTCACTTCCCCTTAGCAAAGTGCTTTCTTTTCCTTCTCAGACTTGTGAATTCTAGCTGTTTTGATGGTTTTCGAAGGCTGGAATATTTCAGCTAACTGTGGAAAATAATTCCACCTAGAAATGCAAGAAAAGGGCCCCACCTCTTTGTTTAACCCCTTTGTCTTTGATTTATTTTTATTTCTGTCTCTTTTGTGAAATACCTTTTAACATTTATTTATGCCTTTAGCATGGTGGCGAGCCTGGAACCTTCCCAGACAGTATGGCTTTGGTTCTTTGGTTCTATAATATAAAGCATTTGGTCAAAACACTGTCACAAACATTGAAAACAACCCAGGGAACAAATGAACAGGTAAGCAATGAATGTATGCCTCAAACTAGGATTCCTGATTTTGTGAATATAGTCAATTTATAATTTGCATAGGACACAAAACAATACCCACCATAGCTTCACAATACTTACTATTCATTTTTACAAACACATAACCTAGATTAACACGTACTTTTCAGCTAGTCTCCATATAAATCCATAGGGTAACACTGATTTATCTCTTTGCTTTTTTAAATTGTTATTATCTTAATGCTAATTTTATGGACAAAGGACAAAGAGGCCAGTTGGATTGCTCAGAGTTCATACTCCGCCCCCTACTCCGTTCTAACAGCAGACCTGCGGTGCTGGACCAGCTCTTCACTGTGGGAAGAACAGAGGTGGGTGGGACTGGCCTCTCTGCTGGAGATAATGTGAGGCATTTCAACAGCCAGGCGAGGTAGCAGACAAACTGCTCGGTAATTATTTAAGAACATACCAATTTTTGTGTAGCATGCAGTCTGAGATCAGGCTGTTCAAGCATGACACTACAGTTTTCAGGCTGCGGAGGTATTTATCTCGAAGTCTTTACAAAGAAGGCCGATTGAATAATTGTCATCAGAAGACAAGAAAATACAGGTTAATACTGGGAGTTCAAAAGCTTGACATTTTTTTTAAAAAAAGAGAACCTGCTAAATGGAATTGGAACACTGTTAAAAGCTGCAGTAATCGAGGGCCCTCGGTAATGAACAGGAATAGGTAACCAGTCTAGAACACTGTGTGTAGTGGGCACGCCTCTCCTTGGGGGCTTTGTTCTTCTCTGCCTCTTCCTCCTTCCAAGTTTAAAGTGCTCTGAGCACTTCTACGTCAGAGGACTGGAGTTCCGGTGCCCCTGCATTAAGCACAGGGCCCTGTCTGTCCTCAGGGACAGTGGTCACCCTCAACAGCATCACTGCAGTGTTCTGGTTTGTGCGTTTGCTGCTCAACCTTACACAATTAATGAAACACTTGGTTGTAACAATGTTTATAAAAGAAATGCAAGCTAAATGTTGAAATAGATAAACACACACACACACACCAATCTTTCAGAAATATTTAAATGAAACACCATGCTTTCCTCCAACAGGGTAAGAGAATGCTTGACTGAGTTCAAATCCATAAACCCCACGAAAAGGTCAGGAATTGTTGTCCTACCAGCAAACCCAACACTGCATGTGCAGTGGGGTGGGTGGATGGAGCTTGGCAGATCCCCAGTCTCCCTGAGCAGCCAACTTAGCCAAAACAGCAAGCTTCCACTTCTGTGAAAGACTGGGACATTAAAAGAATAAGACAGACAGTGCCAAAGAGACACACCAGAGGTCCTCCTGTGGTCTCTGCATGTGTGCACCAAATACATATGTGTGCACCAAATATACAGGCATGTACCAAATACACGTGTGTGCACCAAATACACAGGCATGCACCAAATATACATATGTGTGCACCAAATACACAGGCATATACAAAATACACATATGTGCACCTAATACACATTTGTGCACCAAATACACATGTGTACACCTAATATACTTGTATGCACCAAATATACATGTGTGCACCAAATACACAGGCATGCACCAAATACACAGGCATGTACCAAATACAAATGTGTGCACCAAATACACATGTGTGCACCTAATACACATGTGTGCACCAAATATACATGTGTACACCAAGTACACAGGCATGCTCCAAATACATATGTGTGCACCAAATACACAGGCATACACAAAATACACATCTGTGCACCAAATGCACAGGCATGCACCCATGCCTCATACAATAACAATAATAAAATAAGATAAGCTGGCTGGTTCCAGATAATTAAAAATATCACAGAATTGTAACTTTAACCATTTGTATTTGTCTTCCTTCCCAAATCCTTATTTTATAAAAATTTGTCCTATATACATAGAGAGTTTGTTCTTTTGCACAATTTACATGGGGTACAAAAGTAATACCAATTACATCTTCACACATGCTTATTAATTTCTACAAACACATAAACTGGATTATCTTGTATGTTTTACTTAATACAAGCAGAACTTTCAAGCCATCACTAAATGTAGGCATTTTGGTCTTTAACCAGAAGATGTATAAACTTAGAATCTTATGTAATGGAAAACATACTGACGTTTCTTTTCTTTTTTTGTTCTTTCTATTTTAAGAAAATATCATTATGGGGATAGGAACAATACACTATTCAGGCCATAACTTTGCAAACAAAGTCAGGGATTGTAAAATTTAACGTTCTCCTAACAGCATTAACTTACCCATGTGGCATGTACAGTACATTAAGGGGCCACATTTTGCTGTCTTCCCTGTAATTGAAAATATTCTACATGGACAATTGGAGTGAGCTAATGTTTCTAGCAAACCTTAACTTTTGCATTTCTTGACTTTTTTATGTTTGAATTTGTAGCCTTGGCATTTGCATTAATGAAGTTATTTGCATTTCATTATGTCGCATGTTAGGTCCCTCAAGGGCTCAAGTCTTTAGGTGAGTGTTTTCCTAAAGGCCTGTTTAAATGAAAATCTCACCTTATTCTTTTTTGGTTTACCTATTTATGACCACCAGATATACTAGTTTGCAGTCTAAAATTTTATGCTGACTCAGCTCTCGTGCTTTCGTTGATGGCAAGTGCCCAAGAATTGGGCAACAGTTGAATGGGTGGTTAGGTGAACGCATTCTTACAAAAGTTTATCAGCAATATAGGAATAAGAAAAAATAGTGATTGGATCTCAATAAGCAACTCCTAAGACATTTCTTCTGGAAGGTGAA